GTATTTTGACCAAACTGAAAGTTTTTTCGATCAGATTCTAAGTCTGTTCTACAAATGATTTGAGACTGTGTCTAAAGATTGGTGTGGTACATTCGCAAATGCTAACCGCCTTTCTCTTTGTCTACCAAAAATAGCAAGTGAAACAGAGTTTTGATATATTCGCACTTTTACATATTTCGGCCTAACGAGACTACCCGCGAGCAATAGAAACATGAATCTAGACCACCAGTTGTTACACAAATCCAACTATATGTGTTTATTCTCATTTCAATAAAACTAAACTTTGCGAATAAAATCTATAGATTATCTGCCTAAAACAACTAATACTTATGTCTATGCCTGGAAGATTTCCCTCTCTTTGCTTTCCTTCCGTTTGCAGTCTTCTTCCTGCAAATAAAAATTTCGGTTATAGCACCAAATTTGGACTGCCATCTTACTTTGCACTAGACTTTGCCGGATTTTGGTGGGCATTGAGATTGTTCTGTGTTTGATAACGACGAGAAGTCTGAAAACTTATTTTTCATTCTTCTCAGTATCACCTGTGGGATTTTACTGCTGCTCCAAGGATTCTCGGAAATGCCGCCATTACAAAGTAAGCGCTTACTTACTTCAAACGCTAATTCGCTCCATTTCGGCTCAATCAAACGTAGCGTTTTTGTTTGAGGAGGAGGATTTTGCTCAAACTCGTCCATCCATTCGCAATCTGAAAATGACAAGCTCTAACTGAAAAACCATTTCATCTTTTAATAGGAGTTTTACCAGGGTTTGCGTAGATGGATCCCGAGTTTTCGTCCTCCTGTTCTTGTTCTTGTGATATGGGAGTGCTAACTTTGCTGAGTACTTGCTGAAATCCACTTCTTACCTAATTTTTTCGCAAATTTTAGGATTCAATTGTCTACCTGTTTCAGATCCTCAAGTTTGCGGTTCATCCAGGCCACATAATTGCGTCTGAAGGCATCCATGATCTCATCGATCTCCCTAGGAAATTCCACGACAGTGCACTTCTTTTATTTTTGTACATCTGCAACCAACTCTTGATCCGTCTTTCTGATCAGTCTTTTTCCAGCATTGGCACCAACTTCGCTCAACCTAGCTTCTTCCTGCGGAGGAGTTGCAACTGCGGGTGAAATCGTTAGCGGAGAAAAGCTGAAATACGAACAATTCTTGAGCATATTCAACATGGACTGACCTTCCCACAGCCCTCGAATCCTCCAGCTTATCGCTCTCAACCAACGGTAATGTTGGGGTACTCATACCCTGTCCAACCAGAGGTGTTGGTAGGCTTTCTTGAACCTGAAGTTTGATAATATGACTCAAAGGTGAAGGAATAGGATCCACCTCTCATGTAAGAAAACCAGCTGTTTATTCTTAACGAGGTGGGCTAAAGCGCAAGACCGTAATGCTGTTGGTCTTCCGTACAAGACCGCCGTCGCGCCCCGAAGGCACGCGCCAAACTTGATCCGATGACCCACATGATCCACTTTGCACTGCTATTGGTCGAATGAGTGAAACGACCAATAGCAAAGCGGATATCATCTTGATCCGCTTTATCCATTTCAGTCACTTCTCCATAGGCCAATTTGCTGATTACCAGTAAG